TGGTGATGATGGTGATGATGATGATGGTGATGGTGGTGATGATGATGGTGATGGTGATGATGGTGGTGATGATGATGGTGATGATGGTGATGGTGGTGATGATGGTGATGGTGATGATGATGGTGATGGTGATGATGGTGGTGGTAATGATGATGGTGATGGTGATGGTGATGATGATGATGGTGATGATGATGATGGTGATGATGGTGGTGATGATGGTGGTGATGATGATGATGATGGTGATGATGGTGGTGGTAATGATGATGGTGATGATGATGATGGTGATGATGGTGGTGATGATGATGATGATGGTGATGATGGTGGTGATGATGATGATGATGATGATGGTGGTAATGATGATGATGATGGTGATGATGATGGTGATGATGATGTGTAAACACTTAGGTAAGGATGCGAACACTGAGGAGCGTCACGCTGGTCTGAAGAGCGCCGAGCAGTTTATCTGTAAGATGAACTATCCAAAGTACACCCAGGTAAACACACAGATAGGTAAAGAGGCAGAGCTTGTCAGTGTGTCTCACCTGAGAGGACATGTGACCTCAGCTGTCCCTGCAGGTGGACACACCTGTCCACAGTGTCTGACATGGTCGTCCCTCCTCAGGTTCAGATCCTCCCTGAACACGGAGAGACGCCACTCTTCAAACAGTTCTTTATGGACTGGAGGGATCCTGAGGACACCGTCGGCATGGGAACGGCCTACGTGTCCAATCAGATTGCAAAGATCAAGAAGGTAAACCAATCAGGATCAGGTTTGGGACCAGGTTCAGGACGAGGTCCAGAGAACTGTCCTCCACAAACTAACCCCTCTGATTGGACAGGTTCCTTTTGACGTGTCCAAGCTCCACCAATCAGACGCCATGGCGGCGCAGCACAGGATGGTGGACCGAGGAGACGGAGAGAAAGAGGTGAGGGACGATGTCTGTCCGACCAATCAGAGCTCAGCTGACAGCTTTCAACAACCACAATCAGTGTGTGTCACTAAGACTCATGGGAGACGTAGTTCTTCACTACAGACAAGCTACTGCTGGTCTCATGATAAAATGTCCATCTGTCTGTCTGTCTGTCTTCTCTTCTCTGGACCAGCGCTACCACTTTTAGTGGAATGAAAAACTGTTCTCAACTGACTCACCTGGTTAAATAAAGTTAAAATAAAATAAAAAAAAGTCTGTCTGCCTGCCTGTCCCCTCTGTAGATCTGGCGTGTTGAAAGATCAGAGAAGGTCCCGGTGGACTCGTCAGTCTTCGGTCAGTTCTATGGAGGAGACAGTTACATCATCCTCTATCAGTACCAACACGACAGCAGACAAGGACATATCATCTACATCTGGTGAGACACCACGTCTCTAATAACAGTTTGGACTGGGTCTAGTTGGACTGTAAAAGATAAGATAACATAAACTTTATTGTCCCAAGTGGGAAATTTGTTTTGGGCACATAGTGTAGCTAGGATAGCTAGGGTAGTGGATCCACAGCAGTAGGCCCCCCACCACTGTGACTGGGGTGGAGGGGTGTATTTGTTTATTAAGTAGTAGATGGAAGTGGGGATAAAGAACAGTTTAAAACGGTTACTCTTAAGTCTGCTGGCTCTGTAGCGCCTCCCCAATGGTAACAGTTCATATTTGAAAAAAAGAACATGTGAGGGGTCACTCAGGATTTTTTTGGCTTGTCTGACTACCCTCATAAAGTGACTGGAGAGACTGGAGTTGGTCATGTTTCCCCATTAACTTCATGGCAGTTGTCACCATTTCTTGAGGTCTAGCCTCACACTGGACTGTAAGGGAGCTGAACCACACTGTCATACCATATAATGCTTGCTAATACGGCATTGTAGAATGTTAACATGATCTCAGTTCAGACCTCAAACAGCCACAGCTAACACACCAAATCTGCTAATGTGTTACGCAAGTGGTTGACATGAACGCTCCAGCTCAGATTATTAGCCAACATTAGTCCTGGGTGTTTGTATGAGGACACCTGTTGCTGTTATCAATAATCATAGGGTCATGAGCTACAGTTCCCTCAGGGTTGAAGATCATCTCTTTAGTTTGTTTCGTGTTTGATACAAGATCATCACACCAGGTCTTAAAGTGGCCATCTCACTGTGTATAGATGGACTGGGTCTAGTTGGACTGGATCTAGATGGACTGGATCTAGTTGGACTGGGTCTAGATAGACTGGATCTAGTTGGACTGGGTCTAGTTGGACTGGGTCTAGATGGACTGGGTCTAGTTGGACTGGGTCTAGATAGACTGAATCCAGTTGGACTGGGTCTAGTTGGACTGGGTCTAGATGGAGCGGCTCTAGTTGAACTGGGTGTAGTTGGACTGGGTCTAGATGGAGCGGCTCTAGTTGAACTGGGTCTAGTTGGACTGGGTCTGGTTCAGGTGTGCTCAGGTGTGATCAGGTGCAAGGCGGCTCCCCCTGGTGTCGGTGTCTGTTTCAAATGTGACATCAACATCCTTCAACCTTTAAAGTTACACCATGTTAATATTCAGTATGTGTCTCTGTCCTCAGGCAGGGGGCGGAGTCCAGTCAGGATGAGGTCGGAGCGTCGGCCCTGTTGGCGATAGCTTTGGATGATGAAATGGGCGGGGCAGCTGTACAGGTACAGTGACTGGGAGCACTACACCCACTTATTGTTATCATCATTAATCCTCCAGACTCTGACTGTAACCCTCTGGACCATGACCTGGTCATCTCTAGTCGGTCTGCCTGTGCAGGTTCGTGTGATACAGGGCAAAGAGCCCGCCCACCTCATGAGTCTGTTTGGAGGAAAACCAATGGTGGTGTACAAGGGTGGGACTTCCAGAGAGGGCGGCCAATCAGAGGTGGCAGATACCCGTCTGTTTCAGGTTCGAGCCAATCCAGCGGGAGACACCAGAGCTGTGGAGGTGAGACAGAAAACCAGAGTCAGAGTCTGAGTTACACCAGTGTAACCAGTGTTATCCCAGTATCACCAGTATAACCAGTGTTAGTCCAGCACAACCAGTATAACCAGTGTTAGTCCAGTATCACCAGTATAACCAGTGTTAGTCCAGCACAACCAGTATAACCAGTGTTAGTCCAGGATCACAAGTATAATCATCAGTGTTAGTCCACTATAAGCAGTGTTAATCCAGTATAACCAGTGTTAGTCCAGTATAACCAGTATAACCAGTGTTAGTCCAGGATCACCAGTATAATCAGTGTTAGTCCACTATAAGTAGTGTTAGTCCAGTATAACCAGTGTTAGTCCACTATAAGCAGTGTTAGTCCAGTATAACCAGTGTTAGTCCAGCACAACCACTATAACCAGTGTTAGTCCAGGATCACCAGTATAAACAGTGTTAGTCCACTATAAGCAGTGTTAGTCCAGTATAACCAGTGTTAGTCCACTATAAGCAGTGTTAGTCCAGTATAACCAGTGTTAGTCCAGTATAACCAGTGTTAGTTCAGTATAACCAGTATAACCAGTGTTAGTCCAGGATCACCAGTATAATCAGTGTTAGTCCAGTATAACCAGTATAACCAGTGTTAGTCTAGTATAATCAGTGTTAGTCCAGTATAACCAGTATAACCAGTGTTAGTCTAGTATAACCAATGTTGGTCCAGTATAACCAGTGTTAGTCCAGTATAAACAATATAACCAGCGTTAGTCCAGTATAAACAATATAACCAGTGTTAGTCCAGTATAAACAATATAACCAGCGTTAGTCCAGTATAACCAGTATAACTAGTGTTAGTCTAGTATAACCAATGTTGGTCCAGTATAACCAGCGTCAGTCCAGTATAAACAATATAACCAGCGTCAGTCCAGTACAACCAGTGTAACCAGTGTTAGTCCAGTATAACCAGTATAACCAATGTTGGTCCAGTATAAATAATATAACCAGTGTTAGTCCAGTATAAACAATATAACCAGCGTTAGTCCAGTATAACCAGTATAACTAGTGTTAGTCTAGTATAACCAATGTTGGTCCAGTATAACCAGCGTCAGTCCAGTATAAACAATATAACCAGCGTCAGTCCAGTACAACCAGTGTAACCAGTGTTAGTCCAGTATAACCAGTATAACCAATGTTGGTCCAGTATAAATAATATAACCAGTGTTAGTCCAGTATAAACAATATAACCAGCGTTAGTCCAGTATAACCAGTATAACTAGTGTTAGTCTAGTATAACCAATGTTGGTCCAGTATAACCAGCGTCAGTCCAGTATAAACAATATAACCAGCGTCAGTCCAGTACAACCAGTGTAACCAGTGTTAGTCCAGTATAACCAGTATAACCAATGTTGGTCCAGTATAAATAATATAACCAGTGTTAGTCCAGTATAAACAATATAACCAGCGTTAGTCCAGTATAACCAGTATAACTAGTGTTAGTCTAGTATAACCAATGTTGGTCCAGTATAACCAGCGTCAGTCCAGTATAAACAATATAACCAGCGTCAGTCCAGTACAACCAGTGTAACCAGTGTTAGTCCAGTATAACCAGTATAACCAATGTTGGTCCAGTATAAATAATATAACCAGTGTTAGTCCAGTATAAACAATATAACCAGCGTTAGTCCAGTATAACCAGTATAACTAGTGTTAGTCTAGTATAACCAATGTTGGTCCAGTATAACCAGCGTCAGTCCAGTATAAACAATATAACCAGCGTCAGTCCAGTACAACCAGTGTAACCAGTGTTAGTCCAGTATAACCAGTATAACCAATGTTGGTCCAGTATAAATAATATAACCAGTGTTAGTCCAGTATAAACAATATAACCAGCGTTAGTCCAGTATAACCAGTATAACTAGTGTTAGTCTAGTATAACCAATGTTGGTCCAGTATAACCAGCGTCAGTCCAGTATAAACAATATAACCAGCGTCAGTCCAGTACAACCAGTGTAACCAGTGTTAGTCCAGTATAACCAGTATAACCAATGTTGGTCCAGTATAAATAATATAACCAGTGTTAGTCCAGTATAAACAATATAACCAGCGTTAGTCCAGTATAACCAGTATAACTAGTGTTAGTCTAGTATAACCAATGTTGGTCCAGTATAACCAGCGTCAGTCCAGTATAAACAATATAACCAGCGTCAGTCCAGTACAACCAGTGTAACCAGTGTTAGTCCAGTATAACCAGTATAACCAATGTTGGTCCAGTATAAATAATATAACCAGTGTTAGTCCAGTATAAACAATATAACCAGCGTTAGTCCAGTATAACCAGTATAACTAGTGTTAGTCTAGTATAACCAATGTTGGTCCAGTATAACCAGCGTCAGTCCAGTATAAACAATATAACCAGCGTCAGTCCAGTACAACCAGTGTAACCAGTGTTAGTCCAGTATAACCAGTATAACCAATGTTGGTCCAGTATAAATAATATAACCAGTGTTAGTCCAGTATAAACAATATAACCAGCGTTAGTCCAGTATAACCAGTATAACTAGTGTTAGTCTAGTATAACCAATGTTGGTCCAGTATAACCAGCGTCAGTCCAGTATAAACAATATAACCAGCGTCAGTCCAGTACAACCAGTGTAACCAGTGTTAGTCCAGTATAACCAGTATAACCAATGTTGGTCCAGTATAAATAATATAACCAGTGTTAGTCCAGTATAAACAATATAACCAGCGTTAGTCCAGTATAACCAGTATAACTAGTGTTAGTCTAGTATAACCAATGTTGGTCCAGTATAACCAGCGTCAGTCCAGTATAAACAATATAACCAGCGTCAGTCCAGTACAACCAGTGTAACCAGTGTTAGTCCAGTATAACCAGTATAACCAATGTTGGTCCAGTATAAATAATATAACCAGTGTTAGTCCAGTATAAACAATATAACCAGTGTTAGTCCAGTATAACCAGTATAACCAGTGTCTCTGCGGTGTTGTCCTCAGGTGGATCCGTCCTCGCCCAGTCTGAACTCCAGTGACGTGTTCCTTCTGGTCTCTTCTGGTGGATCGTGGATGTGGAGAGGGGGGAGCAGCAGCTCAGCCGAAGCTCAGGGAGCTGAACACTTGGCTGGACTCCTGCAGGTGACCCCCACCCAGCTGGAGGAGGGTGAGGAGGAAGGTGAGGGGCCGGGGTCATGGAGGTCTTGGAGGTGATGCTTGGTCAACGATGAACTCTGTTGAACCTGAATGGAGAGTTTCTCTGTGTTACAGGTGCATTTTGGGATGCACTGGGGGGGCAGGAGGACTACTGTCACTACCCCCGTCTGAAGAACAACATGGAGGCTCATCCTCCTCGTCTGTTTGCCTGCTCCAACAAGACCGGAAACTTCCTGGTGTGTACCAAGGCTATTCAAGAGAAGGCTGGGACACGGGGTCAAACATGGGGGGATTGCACATGCGCAGTAAAATCTGGTCTGCAATTCCTCAAAGGCTCAGTAGATGGCGTGAGACCGTGGAATAAGGGGGATGTGCATGCATGTCATTTTCACAGCTTATTACTGGACTGTCACTGGTGGCCTGCGTTGTGGGAGAGAATGACAGAGATGCAATTCCGACAACTTCAGGCAGCCGCCGTCCAAAAGTCCAAGCAGACCGCACCAAGCGCACTCCTTGATCGCCTGAGAGGATCCTGCGCTTTTTATCTAGCGCCCCTGCTGTCACCCTCCAGCATCGCAGCTCAAGTTACACTGAGCATGTGCAATCCCCCCATGTTTGACCCCGTGTCTCAGCCTTCTCTTGAATAGCCTTGGTGTGTACATCAGCCTGGTCACATGACCTGGTCACATGATCACAGTGGGTTCTATGTTGTTGGTTCACAACCCAAAAGAGGCTCAGTGTTTCCTGGTTACTGGTGGTTACACCAGCACTTTGAGATTGCTAAAATGTAAAGTGCAATACAAATAAAATTTATTATTATTATTACACTGCACAGTCTGTGCTAGGGTGGACTCAGGTGGTGTTACATCATCTCACTGTGTGTGTGTGTGTGTGTGTGTGTGTGTGCGTGTGTGTGTGTTCAGATGGAGGAGGTTCCAGGTGAGCTGACGCAGGATGACCTCGCCCCTGATGATGTCATGATCTTGGATACCTGGGACCAGGTGAGTCTCCAGCCATGACCATGGCTACACGTCTCGCCTGCCTGTCCTCTGTGTCTCCTCACTTCCCGTGTCCTCCTGCAGGTGTTTGTTTGGATCGGAAATGAAGCTCGTGAGGATGAGAAGACGGAGGCGACAGCGTCAGGTGAGACAGACAGGAAGTTAGCCTGAAAGAGAGACAGGAAGTTAGCAGGATAAATGTAGAAGCTAGAAAACTTCCTAACACTTTCTGTAGTTAAAATTATATTGCTAACAGCTAACAGCTAACTTTGTGTAGCTGTCACACCTGACTCCAGATGCTAACAGCTAACTGTGTGTGTGTGTGTAGCTGTCGGGTACCTGGAGAGTGACCTGGCTGACAGAGACCCTCGGACCCCGATTGTGACGGTGAAACAGGGCTTTGAACCGCCGACCTTCACCGGCTGGTTCCTTGGCTGGAACCAAGAGTACTGGAGCGACGACCCGCTGGAGCGCGCCACTGCGGGCCTGTGACAGACTGACATCACTTCCTGTTCACACCTGTGTGTCACTGCTTTGATCTGATAAATAAACCATGTGTGTCATCAGTGGTGTGTGTGTGTGTGTGTGTGTGTGAGTGTGAGTGATCTCCAAGGTAACAGTCAGGTCGTTAATAGTTTATTGGAGCATCTCTTTATAAATACAGATGATAAATAACAAGAACAGAGACAGAAGCCACAGTGAACACCGCAGAATCCTACACAGTCCAGCAGAGTCCAGTATAGAGTCCAGTAGAGTCTAGATGGTCCAGCAGAGTCCAGTATAGAGTCCAGTAGAGTCTAGATGGTCCAGTAGAGTCCAGGGGAGCCTAGTTGAGTCAAGTATACAGTCCAGTAGAGTCCATTAGAGCCCAGATGGGTCTAGTAGAGTTCATTTGAGTTCAGCAGAGTTCAGATGGGTCCAGGACAGCAGATGTGCGTGTGTTCACAAACAATTCATCACAATTTAAAGTTTTTACTGTTTTACAATAAAATCTGTTGTTTACATTAAAATCCGTAAATTCTCTGAAACACAAACTAACGTCAAACTCTTTCAACGCTACGGAAGCCCAGAGCAGCCAACACATGGAGCTAGGCTAACACTTCCCCCTGCTTCCAGTCTTTGTGCTAACCTAGGCTAACCTGGACCTGATCTGAGTCTGAGACAAATGTGTCGCACTGTTCCTTTAAGACAAAATCTAAACACAAAGAGCCTAAAAAAAGATCAATATATTCAAACTGTTGACGCATCGTCTCTTTAAATAAAGTTTCACTTTGTCAGCTAAACACCAGAGCCATATACAGGTGGGGTTGGTCCAACTGGACTGATCCTCATACGTGAATGTGTGACTGAACCAGAGCCTTGTAGAGCAGGAGCTGTTCCAGTCCGTCCAATCAGAGCAGAGCTATTTACACTGAGAGTTCCAACAATCGGACCAGAGCCATTTACAGGTGGAGCTGAGCGATCAGAGAGACGTGCAGTCTGTTGGAAGTTTCTGGCTCTCAGCAGGAAGTACCAAAAGGAAACAGGATATGATGTCAGACTTTGTAAGATGTTCAAAAAGGAAACATGCAAACAAATACAGGGACTGCATCCCAAGTCTCTTAAAATTACTGCTAACCACCTTATCTAGCCATCTTAGCTAACTGTTTAGTCCCTCCCACTTAGGAAAACATGTAAGGAGTTAGGAGTGAGGAGCGAGGATTGCTGATTAAGAGACATGAGATGGCCTTACTCTGAAGCATCACGTAAAGCGACGTCCTATTCTGGTGACGGCGCGATAGCTGGATCTGCTGCATAACAGAGCCAGCGTTTGGCGTACATCCCAAGTCCCCCCCCCCCGGCATGACTGGTCACAGACTTTTGCATGTATTACCATTGTTATTGAGTCATTTGCCAAAGTTTGTCGCAATTAAAGAACGGTCTGTAGCCCTGCCACTGTCACTGTGATGAGCATCATTATCATTATTATTATCATCATTATCATTATCACTATTATTAAATCCACTCGCCATCATTCAACAAGTCGCTGAGTGAATAAGACATATCAGACCTGTCAGTCTACCTCAATCAATCAATTTTATTTATAAAGCCCAATATCACAAATCACAATTTGCCTCACAGGGCTTTACAGCATACGACATCCCTCTGTCCTTATGACCCTCACAGCTGATCAGGAAAAACTCCCCAAAAAACCTTTAACGGGGAAAAAAAACAGTAGAAACCTCAGGAAGAGCAACTGAGGAGGGATCCCTCTTCCAGGACGGACAGACGTGCAATAGATGTCGTACAGAACAGATCAGCATAATAAATTAACAGTAATCCGCATGACACAATGAGACAGAGAGAGAGAGACAGAGACAGAGAGAGAGAGAGAGATGCAGGACAGACGGTAATGACAGTAGCTTACAACAACATTAATGAAAGTAATATTAATCAATATTAATAATTAATATTACCTACAGGCTATTAAACATTATTCCACTCACATGACATGCAGGACAATTAATGATGGGCAAATCGTTACTCGTTACTCTTTGTAGTCACGTAGGCATGTGAATTACAGCGTGTCATTGCAAAGAATGCATGTAACGGGTACACTTGCACTGTTTCTCCGCCATCTCATTCAAATGAGACAGACGTAGGGGGTGGGTATTTATACGTCAGGGCCTCAAGCTGAAAAAGACTTCCTGTTAGGAAGCTCTCGTGTTACCTTACTCATTGCACCTAACAGATCCCTCCTAACTCCTAACACTAACTCCTTACTGGCAGGAATAAGAGACATGTGATGGCCTTAAAGATGGCGGACCTTGAACGACTTCCAGTTCAAGTCAGGAGTTAGGAGTTAGCAGTATACAATTAAGAGACTTGGGATGCAGTCAGGGACTGAGGGGTAACCTAGCAACAAGGGCGGAGTCAGGTCAGATCCACCTCTGTAGGAGGTGACAGTTGATTGACAGGTCTGTGGCGACTATGACAGCATTGATTGGTTGATTTAAAGGCGTGGTTAATGAGTAAGCCCCTCCTCCCGCCTGCAGTAAGAGCCAATCAGAGCTCAGCAGCCGGTCGCTCAGCAGTTGCCGGAGTTACGGAACTCTCCGTTCTCTGTGATCTGCAGAGATGACGTGTTGCTAGGAGACAGGCCGTTCCTCTGTGATGTCACAGCGTACCGCTCCTTCAGCTGAGTCAGAGCTGCCATTAGACGACTGTTCGCTGCATCGAGACTCGCTATCCTCTTCTCCTGAGAGACAGACGGACAGAGAGAGAGACAGACAGGAAGTTTATTTACATATCAAGAGAAGATGTCACAAAGTCACTGAGCAAGAACAAGCCTGAAAAGAGACAGACAGAGACAGACGGACAGACAGATACCTGCGCCTCTATGATCTTCTGTTTGGAGTCGACCACAGCCTGCATGTCAGAGTGATCCTTCTTCAGCTCCTCCTCCACAGCCATCAACCTGCACACAGACACACAGGTGAGAAGTGACAGACAGGTGAGAGGAGACAGAAGTGGGGACAGACAGGTGTGTGGGGACAGACCTGCTGATGATGCTGTTCATCTGGAGGTCTTTATCATCCTGCAGTCTCCTCAGTCGACTCTCTGTGTCCTCCAGCCGCACCTGAGACACACATAGCAGAGTCATGTGACCATCAGGTGTGACGGACAGGTCAGGTGTGAGTCCAGGTGCTCAGGTGTGGGACTCACCTGGTACTCCTGCAGCATGCGTTGGTTCTGCTGATCCTGGACCAGCAGTCGGGCCTCACACTCGTCCTGACGCAATGCAGCAACTCGCAACTTCTCCTGCAGCAACGCAATCTCCTGCTGGTACTACACACACACACAAACACACACACACACACACACACACACACACACACACAGAGTGTCAGACCCACTAAAACCAGTTCAGACCCAGTAGAACCAGTAAGAGTCTCCTACCTTCTCTATGAGGGCATCATCATGACGATCATCCTCTGTCTCGCCGTAGGAGGAGGCGGAGTTCATGTTGAGCAGCCAGGCAGCGGTGCGGTCCAAGGCACAGGGGGACGGAGCCTGAACACACACACACACACACACACACACACATATATATATATATATATATATACACAGTTACACACTGCGCCTGTCCGTCATCTCCATGACAACACCTCTAATCACCAGCGGGGATAGGTTACCATGGTAACCGCCCCGTTACCTTGGCAGCAGGGCGTTGTTTCTCGGGGCTGTCCCCTTTAGATGATGATGATGTCTGTCTGAGTCGCGACTGACCGCTGCTTGGCCAATCAGGACTTGATGACATCATGCTGCCAGAGGCGGGGCGAGGAGGGTAGGCGGAGCCTCCACCACCGCTGAGCATGCTGGGAGGTGTCCGACCACGAGGAGGTCCCGGCGGAGCAGAGGAGGGGGGAGGAGGCTGATCGATGCGTCTCTGAGGACCTGAGGAGCTCTGACGAATGGGGGCGGAGCTACCTGAGGAGCAACAACAGTGACATCATCAGAATCATCCCATCAGAGAGCTGCACATGTTGTACCACCAGCCTGTTGCTATAGATAGAAACCAGTAGACACTGAGTCCCTCCAGGTGGATGTCCAACAGGACGAGTGTCTCACTGTGTCCACCTGAAGGGACTCACCTCAGCACCTCCTAATGGAGCCTTAAGCTCCGCCCACAGTGAGTGGTGTGTTCTCATGTGGGAGGAGCTTTGTTTAGGACATTAAAGTGACTTCCTGTACCTGTGAGCGTCTCCGACAGAGACAGAGCGCGTCTCGAGTATTCCTCGCCACTGCTGCTGCTCGACATGGCCGACATCCTCTCCCCCCTCTCGCCCCCTCCCAGCCCCACAGACATCTGGGTAAGAAACGCAGGTTTGGTTGCCATGGCGTTCCTGTCTTCGGCATTTCCCTGCGACCCCGCCGAGCCGTCTGAGGGTGTGGCGTCTGTCTGCTGCTGGTGCTGCTGCTGTGGTTGCCGTGGTGACGTGGTGGTCATGTGATACACGGGGTTCTGGAAGGAGAGGGGGAGGAGCCCCGTCCTGCGCTGCCACTGGCTGTCGTCAAGGCCGTCACTAGGGGAGGAGTCTTGTAGGTCGACCAGAGACAGACTGCGGCTCTCATTGGTCAGCTCTGGCCCCTCCCTCCGGCCCCCATTGGCCATCTCAAACCCCCCCTCGTTCTCATTGGGCTCCGAGTACGATGAGCTTGGCGCTGGAGAGCCCTGCACGCCTGCAGGAAGTGACACCAGCAGGACAGGAAAGGTCAGATTCAGAGGTCAAAGGTCACAGACCGAGGTCAGAGGTTATGTGAGGGGTAAAGGTCAAAGGTCACCTGATGCGGGCTGCAGACTGGATCCTTTAGTGACGAAGAACAGATCTTTGTTTTCCGGAGTCGGAGACGGAAGTCTGGTGAAATCTACCAAACTAAACACACAAACACACACACACACACACACACACACACACACACACACACACAGAGTTACACGCTGTGCCTGTCTGATGTCTCCATGACAACACCTCATCGTTAAGTCTTAATAATTATAATAATAAATGAATAATAAAATCTT